GTTTCCTCATTTAGTGGCTTAATCAAGTTAAAATTATGAAAATACAAATGAGGTGATCATGGTTTACCTCCAAGGCTCAAAACTCAGAAAAAGGCATTGACTTGGAGCCTCCAACACAGTTCCAAGGTTCTGCTACTTCAAAGCCACGAAAATACACTACAAACTTGGTTCTTTCTCCATAAAAATGGCACCTTGAAGCCCCAAAGTGAATGAAACTAGCCTTCCCACTCACAACCACAAAGTCAGCCAGTAACCCTCACAAACAGAGGCCACAACTCAGAAGGGAGGTGTCTAACATCCTCACAAGGCTATATCTCAAGTGTTTACAAGAGAAAGGAGGAGAATCAAGAGTAAAAATGATGTCTTTGGTGTTTCACAAGCAAAATACTCAAGCTTTGAAGGGAGAGGAAGCTGGCACCAAGGTGGAGAGCTCAATATCAGAATGGAGGCATGTAGGAGTGTGTAGTTTCTGACCTAGAAACCTGTGCCACTCCTATTTATACTCGTATGAAGTTCTAATCGTCGGTATTAGCTGTAATAGCTACGCTTATCATTTTAATCCCCAAACTTTGGATTCTGAACCTAGCCAATTTTTTATGATTTGTCATATTTTTATTTTATTTTTCGCAGCACTTTCCCGGTACGCATTTTTACGTAGCCGGTATCAGTCCTGACACCCGTCCTCATTATTTCGACTTCAAACTTTGTATTCCAGTCCTAATTATTATTCTAGGACTATTACCATACTTATTATAATTTTTCGGGATACTTCATCAGTACGCACTTATACTGTGGAGCAGAACCGGTATCTGCACTTTTCGTCAGAAAAATGACTTTTCACATTATTAATCATTTACTATCATTATTTAAGCCTTCTCATAATTATTAGGGTCAACTATAAAATTATTTTTTAAATTCACATTTAATTAATTTAATTCCTAAATTAATGGTGCGAGTCTTACAAAAGACATAGATGGGTTGACAAAAAAGGCTATATTAATTGGTGAGAGGAGAAATTTGTTTTTTAGGTTGCAAAGGAGGTGCTATAACCTAGTGAGGGGATGGAAGCCGGGTCTCACTAGCCTACAAGGCCATTGGCAAAGAGGACAAAGTCTTTAAAAATGCTGGAAGAGTGACCAGATTGCCACATTTTTTGTAATTTTATACAATCTGTCACGCGAACATTATTTTTTACTAGACTGCCATGCGTTGAAGTTCGCTACGACTAGTAGCGAACTTGGTAGCCAATGATTTCATGACACGTGGCACACTTTCACAAGAAAAACTAACTGACACGTGTCCGAGTTCACTACGACTGGTAGCGAACTTGGTAACCAATGATTTCTTGACACATGACACACTTTCGTAAGAAAAGTTGATTGGACAAAGTTCGCTACGAGTTTAAAATTGGTATACTATGTGGCACAATCTTGTTTCCCGATCAGAATTAATGTACCAATCACAATGAATAAAAAGAAAATAAAGGAAAATAGTTATTTAATTAATGTACCAATCGCCAATCATAATTAGTGTACCAAAGGATTAACTTTTGATTGTACCAATCACCAATCACTTTGGAAGACTATAACTTTTGATTCGGATATCCAAATCAAATGATTTTTTATTTTATTCACATAACTTTTTGAGATCCAGGCAATGACACCTCATTTAGCATATTTTATCTCTCACAAACATCGTTCGAATTTGTAACAATAGTATTACAAATAATTATGTACAAAAAAAAAAAAAGTATTACAAATAATTAATGTCCTAATCGCAATTTAATGTACCAATCAAAATTATTTGTGATTGTTGATTGATACATTAATTTTAATTGATGATTGGTACATTAATTGTGATTGATGATTGATATATTAATTAAATAGTCATTTTCTTTCATTTTTTTATTGTGATTGGTACATTAATTCTGATCGGGCAATGAGATTGTGTCACATAGCGCACGAAGTTCGCTACCCCTAGTCAGCTTTTTCTGCGAAAGTGTGCCACATGTCACGAAATCATTGACTATCAAGTTTGCTACCAGTCGTAACGAACTCCAACGCGTGATAGTCTAATAAATTTTACTATTCACGTTATAATTTGGTATATAAATGTCAAAAATGTTGCACATTAATTACTGTTACAAATGCTCTTATGAGTCACCTCTCAAAGTGAATCAAGTTTAACACCATACAGATTTTATTTTAATATAGTTTTCACATTTTTATTTAAATAAAAGAGAAGGAAAAAGAACAACTAGACACAATCTGAAGAAACAACAAAAATATACAATAACAAAATGTAACAATTTTAAGTGGAGGGAGGGGGAGATGTCACTAAACATTTAATCATGTTTAATGATTAACAAAAAATAACTGTTTGGTTTAATTCATCTTAGTTACTTTTTTTTTATTTTTAATGATTAACAAAAAAAAGTAAGTATATTAATAATTAATTTACACAATTGACTTTAAATAAAAACTTTCGAATGTATCATCGTAATGAAATTAAGTTTTCAACCATTTCTTCAACATAACCAGACTCTTGAAAATCTAAAGTTCCAAACATAAATTATTACATGGTGGTACCACAATAGCACATTACCAAACGACATATTCCTTAAAAATGAATATATGACGGGAAAGATAAATTACATGACAATATGATATAAAATTTTAACATAATATCATTTTTTATATATGCATCAAGGACATACGCTATATATGTTTTCTCTTAATTTCTCTCTGTCCCAAACAACAACAACAAAAAGCACACATCCTCAAATTCTAACATAAATTCTGTTATTCGTCATAGTGTAAAATTTGTGTTTTTGGTAATTATGGTATCAGTAAATCATAAAGATCATATGTAATCAAAGAAAATTAAAATGTAATATGCAAGACATAAAAGTTATAGAAAATCAAACCCGAGTCAGTATTAGATATTATGTCCTTAAGACAATTTTGCACCCTCAACGGTGCCTGATATTCGTAGACAAATATCATAGAACGAGTTACTTTTGTTTCGATTGTGACATTGCCAGAAGAAACATCACTAGCGAACACAATGGACGTTGATCAATCGTACATAATGAATGCAAATGATTTCAAAAAATATTTTGACAAAGTTTTGGTACAAGAGATAAATCAATTTTTTTCTTCGTATGATTTTCTTCCATATTTATAAACTATGACTGGCCACGATGAATGATGTCTTTTCGTGGTGGAAGAATTGTGTCTATTCTGCGGTGAAAAATATGTCTGTTTGAGAATGAAAAGATACATCTTTTTACGCCCAACTTCTTATTTATAACATTTGAATTCTATAAGAATTCCAACAAATTCACCCTTTATTCTAAGAATCTTTCTTCAAACACTTCATACACCCTTCACATGACTCTATCTTTGTATCAACGAGACTGAACTCCAAGCCTCTTCATGCGGCCACAACAATTTCAGTCTCCGCTTTAAGACGTTGTCCTTTCAAATGAAAGGGTGATTTATAAATTGATATAAATTAAAATCTTAATAATAATAATAATAATAATACTAAGTAAGAACATATATTGTAAAAAAAGGAGAAAATAAATTTGCGAAAACAACAATATTTTGCAGGTTCAATAGGGAGAGCAAGGAGACAAAAACAAAGTAAAAGGGAAAGAGTTTTCTGCAAATGAAAGAATTCATTTCAGTATGGTATGAGTATCATGAGTATCACTATCATTCATGTGCGGGTGTGGGTCCAGGCGTCCAGCCATGAATAAAAGGAAGGCCTCGCCGGCGCTTGAATCTAGGAGGATACGGACTGGCACACACGATGACACGATAGTTACCCTCCCTAACGTAGGTATAAACCTATTCTGGGCCAGGGACAGGATTAAGACCCGATGATAGTCTTCATTATTGATAAGCTTTTGCACTAAAAATATTATAAAAATTAATTGATGTGTTGATTTACGAAGTTATCTATATGATATGTTATCTTTTAAGTATCCTGTGTATCAAAGGGTTTTCATGTAATCACACTATCTTACATATAGATAATGGGGATCTATTTTATTTTTAAAATCATCTTTCAAAAAATCATAAGTAAAAACTATGTTTTCAATTGCCCAATAAAATTGTTCTAAACTTTTTTAAATCTATATAATGATATATAATGTTAATTATATGATTCGTCATCTTTTAATATTACAAGTAAGGTAAGAGCTCATATAATATAATCATATTATCTTAAAGCTTGGGGAACTGTAGATTTATTGTAAAAATAAATCTTCTTTGAAAAAATATTTTTAAAAATATTAAAATTATATAATTCACAAGTATTATTTAAAAATTAATCTGAATTTGAATTTGTAATTCCACCACAGAATATATCAAAATGAGATTTCTCCTATTAAATTAAAATTAGATTTTTCATAATTTAGCTTTCTTTTTCAAAATAACTGTTTGATTTAATTCGTTTTAGCTACTTAATTTTTATTTTTAATGATTAACAAAAAAAATTAAGTATATTAATAATTTACACAATTGACTTTAAATAATTTTTTGTGAATTTATCATCGCAATGAAATTAAGTTTTCAACCATTTCTTCAACATAACCGGAGTCTCTTGAAAGTCTATAGTTTTAAACATTAATTGTTAGTGGTACCTCAGTAGCACATTACCAAACAACATATTCCTGAAATCAATGTATGACCTGAAAGATAAATTACATGACAATGTGATCTAAAATTTTAATATATAAAATCATTTTATATATATATATATATATATATATATATATACACGTGTATATATGTGTGTGTATCATCAAGTACATAGTCCCAAACAACAACAACAAAAAAGGACACATCGTGAAATTTTAACATAAAATCACCCTTTATTTATTAAGAAAGTGTCTTCCTCCGAACACTTCATAGTTCATATACCCTTCACATGTGTATATCTTTGAATCAACGAGACTGAACTCCAATTCTCTTCATCCCTCCACAACAACTTCAGTCTGTAACACGCTGTCCTTGGTTTCTTCCCAAAATAAATGCAACATACAAATCCTTCAGAGCAATCACAACAGCAGTTGTCAGGAGGCCCATGATAGCACCCTGCGAAACAACATAATCCTTCATTAATCTATCAACGTCTCATGGGACACAAGTAGTAGTAGTCACATTTCAAAACCCAAGACTCAGTAATTTTATCAAGTTATGGAGGTAAACCAGTTTTCCAATTATGAAACTAAGAATAAAGAAGTTGACATAAAGTGCATAAAATTAATTACAGATTGATTTGTTAATTGTTATATGCCGAAACAATATGGTTTGAAACCTTGAGATTCAGCTAAAACATGATGGCATCAAGAGTGAGAGAAAGAGGGTAAAAATTTACCTCTAGATTAGATGGGAACAGCGTCACTCCCCCAATGATGCTCAGCCCAGCTGTAAGATGTGCAAAATTCTCAGGCACATCTTTCGTAATTTCTGACGCTACAAAATTCATGAGGAAAAGGTGAACAACAGACAAGACAACGGCAACTAAGTATCCGCCTTCCAGCGCTAGTTGCATAGCTGCTTGGATTGTTAGAAGCCAAGATGGAAATATTGGTATCAGAGGACTGATGAAGGCAAAGACAGTTGACATGTACAAGAAATGTATTTTGAACAACCTAAATAGAAGCCAAGTAAGACATCCCTGAGAAAATGCAATCTTGATCATGGCCAAAAAAACTGAAATAGCTCTATTCAAAATTTCTTCGCATCTCTCCCTTGTGTGGTCAGAAATTGGAAGCATGCCCATCACTTGTGCTATTAGCCGCCCACCAGACTCAAATATGATGAGATAGTACAAAATCGAAATGAATAGCATTACCTGAGATACATAATTGTAAACCTGTGCAGCTCTGGAGATTATGAAATTTGCAAAATAGATCATAAACTCGGCGCTGCTTCCAACCACATCTCTATTTCTAGCAGAAAGCCACTGAGATAGAAATGCTTTAATGGCTAATTCTTGGGCTGTCTGAACAAAATCCCCACGTGTGATCTCAAAATGCTCATAGGCAGTCACAAATTCAGTCATATTATAATTATAGTGTGCAGCCAAATCAGAGAATGTCTCATATGACTTTGTAGTGTGACTTACCACCATCTCAGCAACATTATTCTCATCCAACCACTTCTTGACAGCATAATTGCTCTCTTTCGTATGTATTTTCAGATAAATCGCTGCATCTTTCCCTTCAACTCCAATCTTATAAGAGAAGAAAATCAACCCAGTCAAAAACCCAACAATCAGCGTAACAGCCACAATAATTCTCAACCTCTCTAATGTCCCTCCGGTGAAAGAAACACTGATTTCACTGCTCCTCCTGCTAGTGAAAGAAGACAAAGTGGAAACAATATGGTTTGAGGTGAAATAAAAGCCCAACCCCAGAAGGAGAGAAGCCCCAGAACCACCAAGGCGCTCATAAGCAATGATGAAAATCCAAAAAGTGAAAAGCAAACCAAGCAAATTGGAAAACCGACTACCGGGCTGGTTCTCAGGCCTTGGTTCCCTTAGATAGAAGCTGAGAGAAGCTTCACGGATCCTAAGAAGGGTACCTAATAAAAGCGTGATAACAACAACAGGAACAGCAAGAAGAGTTTGTATGAGGCCTAACTGGTGTGTTTCGGACAAGAAGGCAACAAGGGTCTGCTGAATGCCCCTGAGAGGGACGGAGCAGAGCACTCCCCATTGGAGGGGTCTGCGGAGCTGTACCAATTGGTTGGGCAATGTGGAAGTAGAGAGGAAGAAAGCGGCCAAGAAGACCAACCCCAACAATGCCACGGTTATGGATGCCGAAGGCACCATGTTCTATACTCTTTGATGGCAGCACTTTAACAGAGAAGGCTAAGGCTGGCTACTCACCTAACAATTAAAAATTGACTCAAAGCTGTGAAAAAACGATTGTAGAAAAGTTAGGAATTAATCCATTTTATATTCACCTAGCAATGCCACGGTTATGCACACGCTATGGTGACTCAAGTGACTAGCATCACTCAAGTGACTCAATTTAAATATGTTCCTTAACAGAGAAGGTGGGCTACACAAGTGGTTCTTCTTTCAGTTCTTTTTCGTTATTAACTGTTCTTAGATTAACTGAAAGAATTAAAAATTTACTCAAATCTACTACAACAAAAAATCTTATTAGTGATAATATTTTATGAAATTTCGTCACAAATTCTTACGTCGCAAGTAAATTTTGTCACAAATTCCTGAGTCGCAAATTTATTTGTGACGAAATTTGATTATTTGTGTCCAAAATTATCATTTGTGACAAAATTTATGACAAAATTTTTTGGTGGCAAATAAACTTTTTTCTTTGTTGAAAAAAATTATACTGTCTGATCATATGAGTTCTTTTGATTTACACTTCATGGCAGAGGTGGTGGGTATTTTTATTTTGATATTCACAATAATTCAAAATGTGCAGTTGGCCTTATGGATTATGCATCTAGAATGGTATTACGCAACCTATTTCTGATTTTAACGAATTTTGGTTTGGTTTGGCTTGGCTTTGTTTGCCTTAGGCAAATTTATTCCCTCCTCTCTCTCCTTCCCTTTTTATTTTTTCTCTCTCTACCCTATTTTCTTCGGAGGAGGGACCACAAAAGCATGAAGCTCTCTTAATATTATCTGGACCTTCTCCTCTCTCTACCCTATTTTCTTCGGAGGAGGGACCACAAAAGCATGAAGCTCTGCACATTATCTCGACCTTTAGGTATCAAGTGATACATACCAAAAATAATAATAATAACATTAATTATGTGCCTTTGGTCCTCTTTAGGCTTCAGACATATTCCAATGCATCTACGTGAGGCCTCAGACATCTATGTAAAGGGGGGATTTCATGATGGCCTACAAAGGTACAAACGGTTCGCTTATATAATTTGTCAATATGTTGTACCCTCTTTGACCATTATTATTTTCATATTTTTGTACTAGCCATTTAAGGAAGACTAACTTCAACGGTTCAAATAATGGCCATTCCATGTTTCTGTTGTTGATTCATCAAGGGGAAGAAGACCTTGGTTTTTTTCCGAATTTAGATGCATGATTCTGTAAATAGAATATATACATGCTTAGAAACTTAGCAAGGAAACTAAAGAAGATGCAAAATGATACTTTTCTGTTATTTCCTTTTATGTTTTAACTTTGAAGCTCTGAATCTCAAGTGCAACCCGTTTTGCTTTTTTCCCGGATTAATGACTTATTTTCCTTATTTATGACTATTATTTGCCTCCAATTGTAATAATTATAGTACATGCTAACCAATTAGCCAATTAAAAGAAACGGTGGTTATTTGGTACTTGGATTATTCATTATAGTTGATATTTCTACACGCATGTACCATGTAGTAGAATCTCCAAATTCGGTAACATAAGTAAATGCTTAAAGTTTTCTACCAAATTCAGCGTTTATGTTTATATGTTAATAGCAATTTGAGTGTGCTCCTAACGCTTTGTTGCATAAGTTGTGAATAGCAGAGCATATGTTGGTATTTATTTTTGTTGTGGGTCTGATGCTCCCTAAATGCTAAAGCAACGCTAAGAACTAAGAAGAGACATTGCCATCTGAGATGTGGTCCTTTTTTCTGTGGCAAAATGTCTAGCAGGGAGGCTAGCTACCACCAACTTTGAATCTTTGTCACTAATTAAGGTAAATAGCGTTTCCATCAATTTGCTACTTATTGCTTCCGGATGACAAAAATAATAGTAATAACAATAAAATCCGAACATGACCAGTGACCACTAACCGGTCCACTTCAACCGACTTAAGAATTTAAAAGAAAAAAAAAAATTACATGTTAATTAGGGGTGTAAATAAGTTGAGTTGGGTTAGATTTTTTTTTTTTTGGTAATCTGGGTTGGGTTAGATTTTAGAAGTTTGACTTGTATAAAATATTTTAAGTCTGACTTAGTCTGTTAGTCTTGTATAGACTCAAATTATAAGTTTGGTTTGGCCTATATATTTTTTTATTAAAAAAAGTCTTGGCCCAAGACATGTTAGTTTGTTTAAACTTATTAGACATTTAATAATTAAAATAATATTTTATTTATTTTTTTAAAAATAAATAATATGATATAGGTCTGCCTTTAGATTTATAGGCCCGACACGTAAAATAATATATATATATTTTAAAATAAATAATATGATATAGGTCTGTCTTTAGGCTTATAGGCCCGACACGTAAAAGAAAGCCTATGGTTTGCTTTCTAAATATGCTTGTTTTTAGGTCTGATTCTATTCTATTTGATTATATGTAATAGGCCGAGTCATAGACTCCTATTAATTCGATTGATCCACTTACACCCCTACAGTGCTAACCATTGAGAAATATTATTTAATTATCATATTGCTTTATATATATATTTATTGAGAAAAATAATTCTTGAGATAAAGTTATATTCTGTTACTCCAAAATTACATCTTATTGAGGGTTAATATATGGAGATAATGTATCCAATGTTGAATGAAAAAAAAATCATTTATTATATATCTTTACATAAATTCATTTTAAACCGTTGAATCAATAACCTATATCTCACCTAATGATATGTCCGAGTTTAATAATATTGCTATAAATACAATAATTTATTATTTTTATGATTGTAATTAATTACAATTTAATTTCTAATCAATTAAAATTAAAATTAGGAGTAAAGTGGGCTTAGGAACGCTAGCATCTGTTCCCTCGCACTCTATTTATGGAATCGAACAAAGCTCTAGCACGACGCTAGCATCTTTCTCTTTTTCTTTTAATTGGTCTCTCGGTGAAAATAACCGTCACTATTTCTTTCTGTTTCGATAATCTTTCTCGGCAAGCAAAAGGGTGAGAGCACTAGAGAGGTAAGAAATGGAAAACTGCCTGTAATCACGGGGCAAGTAACAACACAGTCAACACTAAATCAGCCATTGCATTAGGGTGAGAAAGGAAAGGTTAATCCTGTGCCACGTAACCATGGGGAAGCCTCTTAACGGATATACACGCGTAGTGGCGGAGCCAGCCTCCAACCGGAGTCCAGGCCAAAAAATTATATGTGTATTTATTTTTATACTTAAGCAGGAAGCATGAAAAAGAATTATAATTTTATTAAATATTTTTAAATTTTATTGAATATATTTTAGGGAAAACTTCAAAAATAAAGTCTTATTAGTTTTTTAATTATCACTTACCCCTCACAAATTTTTTGAATCATTTACATCTTTATTTAGATTTTTTTTATAACTTACCCCCTGACTTAAAGTTTTTATTATTATTTACCCCCTAAGTTAGGGGGTAAATGATAAAAAAACTTTAAGTTAGGGGGATAAATAATTCAAAATTTTGGAAAGAGGATAAATGATTATGAAAAAAGTTATAAGGTAGTGTTTGGTTGAAGGATTATTTTGGGATTGATGGGAAAGTGTAAGTGGATATTGGAGAATACCACGTTTGGTTCAGGTTTTTTAAAAAAAATACTAGGCAAATAGGATAGATGGGGAAATGACTTTTGTGTTGATTTTTGGATGAAATTCACTGTTACAGAATACCACTTGAGATGTGGTATTTTGAGATAACTGGGAAAGTGAAAAACAGGTACGAAATTTCTCGCGAACATAGATTTTGCAAATTTAAATAAATTTCCCTGGTAATATTTCGGTCAACCAAACAACTTTTTTTACATTTTCCTACCAAACTCATTTTCCAACCATTTCCCTAGTAATTATATTTCCCTAGTATTTAAAAAATTTCTCCTCAACCAAACACTCCCTAAGAGTTTTTTTTGAAGTTTTTCCTATATTTTAATTTTTTTTATATAAATTGAAATAGAACACATGACTTAATACAACTTACTCAAATCTCTCATTAAATATTTATTTTTTGATAGGCCAAATTACAAATTTTAGCCCGGGCCAAATTATAATTTTAAACTGGGTCAAATTATAATTAATTATATAATTATACATGATAAATATAATTTGTTAAAATTTACCTCGGCCCGAGGTCACATCCTCGTACAACGTGGCTTCACGGTGACAGTTTATGACCTTGGAAGTGTATTAACAAATAATATCCAAAGATAAGGGCGTGGTCCAACCAAAATTCAAAGTTCGGCTCAAAGTTGACGTTAGGTGAATTCGTAAAACTCCCTATGATACCCGGTATTATTATTAAACCAGTCGAAGCAACCATGATAAAGCATCAAAACTGTAAGACAATAAGATTCTGTGGACCATACACGCCGACCAAATTCAACTATACATGTATCATGTAGTTATGTCCAATTGTATCTTTCAAATCGTTCACACTAACAATCCTATCCTCTCCTCCAAAAGAAAATGTTAACAAATAACCAAATATATATTTAGAGTAAGGGTTAAGTATCGTATGTAACAAAGGGGTTTTCATATAATCACACTATCTTATAGATAAATAATGGGGATTTATTTCCAAAGTAAAATCGTCTTTTTAAAAAAATTTCTAACTGACCAATAAAATTGTTTTGAGCTTTTTAAAATCTATATAATGATATAGGAAAAAGTGTGTGTCATTTTAAAAGAAGTAAAGTTGTGTCAGATAAGGGAGGAGAGAGATTTGACAAAAAAATAAAAGTGTGAGTCCCACCTCTTTGTGAGAGTAAAAGAATATAAGTTATGTCATTTAAAAGGATAAACATTTTTCCCAATGATATACAACGTTAACTATATGATTAGTCATTCTCCAATATTCAAAATGGGGTAAGAGTTCATATTGTTGGGAACTCGGTTCCCTCAAGCTCGGCTAAGAAGCCTTTTCGCGGAAGTCAATCAACAAGATTTTGGGATCT